GTGCGGGGCAGAGACTCCTGGCAGGGCTGGCTGACTCTAGTGCCGTCTGGCCAGAGTCTACCCCTTTAAGGGTCCGGGGCTGGGGGAGAGGAGAAGAGTTTTCCTGGTTGTGCCCAGAGAGGCCACCAGGGGGAACCTGGGAAGGGTTAGCCTCCCACTAGTTCGAATTAAGGGGCTACACAGCCCTTAATTCGAACTAGTAAGTTCGAACTAGGCTTAATCCTCATAAAATGAGGTTTACCTAGTTCGAACTAAGCGCTCCGCTAGTTCGAATTAAGTTCGAACTAGCGGAGCGCTAGTGTAGCGCCTATGAAAGTTAGTTTGAACTAATGTCCGTTAGTTCGAACTAACTTTGTTGTGTAGACAGTTCGAATTAAGGGGCTACACAGCCCTTAATTCGAACTAGTAAGTTCGAACTAGGCTTAATCCTCATAAAATGAGGTTTACCTAGTTCGAACTAAGCGCTCCGCTAGTTCGAATTAAGTTCGAACTAGCGGAGCGCTAGTGTAGCGCCTATGAAAGTTAGTTTGAACTAATGTCCGTTAGTTCGAACTAACTTTGTTGTGTAGACATAACTGCTCTTCTTTCATGGGCACTGGGCAAGTGCATGTGTGTGGGGAGTGGGGAGGAGGAGAGAGAGTTAAGTTCTTGATGAAGGGATCCATCCAAATCCAGTTAGTCCCTGTCTCATAATTTCTCCCCAAATGAACCTCCAAAGAGCATTCCAGCCAGTCCTTCCCTTTGAGCCATCATTGGTGTTACATTTCCTTGACATGCACAGGCACCATATTCCTCAGCTGCTTCCCAGTTGCCTGTCACCCACACCTCAGGAACGTCACTGCAGGGATCTATATGCTCCTGGATGGCATGTTTTTATATCTTGGCAATTCTTCCAATTGCTTTCATCACACAGACCCAATGCAGCGAGCCAGAGTTTGCTGAAAAACTCTTCTGTTGCTGGCTAATTACTGGCACCTCGTGCTGGCACACTGGGGCTTTGAAAATCTAGTCTTCCCTTTGCCAGGCTTGAGCAGTAGTGTAGGATGGTTGTGGAGTCATTTGGGGCCATTTTATACCAGACGCAGCAAAATACAGGACAGAGTCCTGCAAAAGTGCCATTAATGCCTATCAAGTTGGCTCAGCACCAGTCAGGATCAGGCCCTGTTTATTTTACATTTGATCCATCAGCACTGGTGATGGCTGAAAATCTATTAGGTTAAATAAACAAAGACTCTGCTAAAAGAATTTAGAAGGCTCTGATCCTCCAAGATGTTGAGTGCCTCTGGGGAGGTGCTGAGCACTCCAAACCCTACGGAAGTTGGGGGAGTCAGAGCCACTCAGCACCTTTCTGGCTTAGGCTCAACATGGTTAGTAACAGTACTGAAATCAGGAGGCCCTACTTCCTGAACCACCAGGCTTCCCTTCTTAACGCTGTGCCTTAAGAGGAGTTCATCTCATGCCTACATGTGCTGGGCTCCATTCACTGCTGTCCTCTTGGGTTGCCTTGTCCACCAGTGCACAGTGGGGTTAGATCCAACCAATCTGCCATGCCAGCATTTTCTACCCACTGTGTATATATCACTGCCCCTAGCCCTGCGGAGCTCTCCCAGAGCTTTGCGTTCTTTTCTGTGGATACGG